ACACACACACACACTCACTCACTCACTCTCACACACACACAAATTCTCTCTCTCTCTCTCTCACACACACACACACACACACAGCTGCCACTCCCTGCAGTTAAGTGTTTTATCTGTGGACGCCTGCGGGCAGACGAAAGGAAACTCATCTGTGTTTAAAAATCCATTTAGACCAATGAATCCTCCCACAAACCACTCACTAAACACACACACACACCACTGCGCTTCAATTAAAGTAGACACCAAACCAGACGCATTACACTACTCTTAAGAATACAGGTTCTTTAGATTACTGAAGGAATAGTTCACCCAAAAATGAGAATGTGCTTAAATTTGCTCACCGTCAGGCCATCCGAGATGCAGATGAGTTTGTTTCGTCATCAGATTGTTTCAGCTTTTGTCTTCTCCAGATGTTAACTGATGGACTGGAGTGGTGTGGATTATTGTGATGTTTTTATCAGCTGTTTGGACTCTCATTCTGACGGCACCCATTCACTGCAGAGCATCCATTGCTGAGACACTGATGCAATGCTGCATTTCTCCAAACCTGATGAAGAAACAAACTCATCCTGATCTCAGATGACCTAAGCACTTTTATTTTTGGTGAACTATTCCTTCAAATTAACCTGGACTACATACATAGAATTAGCCAATATGAACACTCGATTGTTTTTCACCACACGTGACTTGCTTCGCGCCATCATAGGTTACACAGACAACATCTCAGAAACCAAACAAGCATTGCAGATCCCTGTGAGAAGGACAAAGGCGAGCAAAGAAGAGGCACCGAGAAGTGTTAGTCTTTCGATCATTTTAATACATGGTTACCTGTACACATGAGGAAGAAAAGAAACACTAAAATTAAACATTTTGAAATTATAATATCCCTTTTCATTAAGCAATGAAGTTAATACTAGATCAATTTGCAACTAATCAATCATACATATATTAGATCACACAGAGTAGAAAGCAAAATCTGAATTAAAAAGTGACGGGATCGGGACTGTACAGGAGCGCACAGTGTGTTGTGGTGAAGTCGAGGGACCGGCGAGAACAAATAAGACAAGAACTTTGATCTTCCAATACTCGGAATATAAAAACTACAAGTAATTAATACACAGGTAGGCTCTCCGAGGCTTAGCAGTCTTGAACGCTTTAAAGTCGAAGTTTACAGAACTACACACACAAAACGTCTCATCCGTCAGCAAGATGCAACATCAAATTTCAAATCACACATTTACAATCTTTGACAAATTTCAGTATGAAAACAGAACAGAAAAACAGGGACAGTTTTCCTGTAAAAACGCAGGACAAAAAAGTCTTTGATTTAATTATATATATATATTTTTAAATAAAGTATTTAGTCAAGTATCTGAGCATACATACATAGTTTTACAAGAGAGCAAAGGCAAAAAAAACACCTCACGATACGCAAGACCACACTTTCCCGCCAAATCACCGTAATAAAAAAATTATCCGTTACATTTGCATACGACTACAAAAAACCTCTACGAACTACAAGTTAAACGTCTGTCAAAATATTAGAGAAATCCATCTGTTTCAAAAAAAAAAAAAAATGAAATAAGATATTGCACCTTTTTAAACCAGAGTACAATAAAATGACAATGAAAACAGAATACAAGTACATGAGGAATTACATCATCGTTGCGTTTCTCGTGTAACAAAAGCATATATTTCTGTAACAAAAACATCACAGTTTTTCATCGCACTGAATTAAAATGCTTTATGTAGAAGAAAAAAAAAGAAAACATTTTGTACACATTCTTAAAACATTTCACGACAAAACGAAACGATAACGAATCCAAGACTGCTAAGCCCGCGGTCATTTTATTGCAACAGAACTAGAAAAATAAGAGATTATATCGCGCGATCGATGAAACGCCGCGACTCCGGGGTTCGTTTTGGCGATACACATCTATATATATATATCGTAGAATTAAAAAGGAAGAATAGAAAACAAACCAACTCTGAAACGGTCCAAAAGGGATCCCGGAAATCGCCCATTCAAATAATGGTGCACACAAGTATTTAGTAACAATTTGATGTCCTGATTTAGAAATAGTTCTCTTTTTAAATCATATAAGTCATTCTACAGCTAGTGTTTCTCACTAAGAAAAAAAAGTAAAAGTCTTCAAGGCGTTGCAAATCTAGAAACCTCTGTTACAAAAGGTCTGTTTCCTCCTCGCAGTGATTCAAAAATCTTCAACTAAAGGGTCTGCAGTCGCCCGCTTTAATGATCCTGCGGCACGAAGGGAGAAAAATCACAGACAGTTAGAGTACACAAACTAAAAATAAAAATTATTAGTTTTCATGGTTTTCAAAGAAGTCTCTTCTACGGAGCTCCTTAAAGGAACATGGTGATGGTAAATAAAAACTTTCTCAGTGCTTTTGCAGGTGAATGCAAGGTTTCCCAGGAATGCTTTTGCAAGAGAACCAAAGCTGCATTTTTGATCAAAATACAGTAAAAATTGTGAAATATTATTCCTATTTAAAACTGTTTTCTATGTGAATATCTGTTAAACTGTAATGTATTTCTGTGATGCGCAGCTGTATTTTCAGCATCATTACTCCAGTCTTCAGTGTCACATGATCTTCAGAAATCATTCTAATATGCTGATTTGCTGCTCGAGAAACATTTCTGATTATTATCAATGTTGAAAACAGTCAATATTTCTGTGGAAACTGTGATGCATTTTATTTTTCAGGATTCACAGATGAATAGAAAGTTCAAAAGAACAACGTTTATTTAAAATAGAAATGTTTTGCAAAATTGTAAATGTCTTTACTGTCACTTTCGATCAATTCAAAGCGTCCTTTAAAAAAAAGAAGAAATTAATATATATATATTTTTAAGTGTTTTCAAAATTAATGTTTCTTGAGCAGCAAATCAGCATATTAGAATGATTTCTGAAGATCATGTGACACTGAAGACTGGAGTAATGATGCTGAAAATACAGCTGCGCATCACAGAAATACATTACAGTTTAACCGATATTCACACAGAAAACAGCGGTTTTAAATTGTAATAATATTTCACAGTTTTTACTGTTTTTTTTATCAAATAAATGCAGCCTTGGTGAGCAGAATATACTTTTTTTCCAAAAACATCTTAATTCTTGCACACTTTTGAGCGGTATTGTATGTTGATATCATTATATGATATATATCTATAAAGGTGATGGTGTTGGTGGAGTGTGTTTATTACCGGGAGGCCAAGAGACACACACACACACACAGAGAAGGATGAGAACACTGAAGTCCAGCTGGGTTTCACTTACATCAGGAGGACAGACGTTCTCTTACTCTGTTTCTTGTAATACTCCTCCCATGCTTTGCTGTAGTCGGAGCCGCTGCTCTGGCCTTGGTTCTGTTGACCTGCACAAACAAAACACACAAACTCAGTCTCAGTTTGATCCAGGAACATCAGTTACAACTAGAGCTGCTTGATTAATCAGAATAAAACCGAAATCATAAGGCTGCAATTCATTTAAACACACATACACACAGTGAGTGAACCGTGGCACTGTGTTCATTTACACACCAGCAGCTCATGATCGTCTCGGTTCACAGCAAATTATTCACATGAACTCCATCAGCATAATGCTCCGAGTAACTTTAATGTGCATTTGGGAACAAAACACACATCTTCACCATCTTCACAAATGTATAACAAGAAGCGCTTGTCAAAGAAAGAAGCTTTAAGTGCTCCTGCGTCAGAATAAAAGTTTGACCGTTTTCAACGTTTGAAAATCAAGAATTTTGAGCAGCCATAAATATTAGTGTTGTATATTACAGTTAAAAAGTAAAATAAAATTATGAATTATTCATATTTTTCTAATACTATTTTTTTTTTTTTCATTTTAAAGTGAAATATTACATTAGCAATGTTTCTTATTTGTTTTTTAGTATTTTTTTTAATTTATAATAATAATAATAACTTTCATTATTATTATAGCTATACTGATATATAATCTTAAAATTCTGGCCTAACCCTATAAGCAAGCACAAAACAAATTTTTTTTAAAAAAGCATTTTAAGTCCCAATTGCAATTTTTTTATAAAAAAACTAGTTACAACTTCTTAGTTAAAACTAAATCGATGATAAATAAACCTGCAAAAGCAATGAATATTACGTTAAGCGTTAAAGGAAATGTTCATAAAGTAACAGAAAAGGTAACTTTCTTCCAGGATATTGTTTTCTATGATTTTTTCTCTTGCAGTGCAGATCTTTTTTGTCGTTTTAGGAAAATTGCGCAAAGACTTTTACTGTTATAACGCTGTGCATGTCAATAACGGATCACGTCCTGTTGGGCTTTTTGTGTTCGTTGGAGGCTTTTATCAGGACGAGTAATGAAAAACAACAGTATTCCACTCCATCCAAAAAATAAAAGTGGCAGAAAATAATACAGCAGACCGGGAAAATTGTTAGTCAGGCTAATAAAGCGCTCTCAGCCGCGTCCCTTAAGAGTCCCGGCGTCTCACCCAAACCTTCAGGATGAAACGCAGCTAAGTGTCTGAGACACTTGCCTAGCTTTTTATAATACTGCTCCCACGCTTTGGAATAGTCCATCTGGCCGGTCTGAGATCCATTGTGACCTGAAATTAGCAAAACGAAGTGAATCTAAAGGAAAGCGCTGTTCCTCAGAAGAAACAGCGAAGCTTAAAGTGAGTCTTACTGGGGTCCTGCTGGCTCTGAGGCTGCCATGTCTGGTACGTGGTTCCCCAACCTCCAGTCATGAACGTCTGCGGACCACTAACACACAGAACAACACAAACACAGCATCAGCATTACAAGCACTACACAGGAACCCACAGATAATCGACCTGGTCTGAAACACACTAAAACCGTTCACCTGAACACGTCTGATGAAGAATTACACATGCTCTGGAGGTTCAGTACATCAAATCTTTGGCACTATCAAGTGGTTTTTAATTAATTAATTATGTGATGTGAAGATTAATTAACTGCACATCAAATTAAGGTGAGAAATTACCCTCCAAAAGAGCATTTAAAGTCATAATTGTGTTAAATAACAAAAGACAATCTTGATTCAACATTGTATGCATAATGATAATAAACGGGTAGTTTTGTTTTTTTACTCAACATTGAAATATGAAAACTTAAAAAAACAATGAAATGATGCTCTAAATATAAAACTAAAAGCACTGTCTTAATGAGTGATTCATTGACTCACTTGATTTCTTCAAATGGCCGATTCATTCAAAAACAAAGCAAGTGACTCTTTACAAATGAGTCATTGACTCACTCGATTTGTTCAGAAATGTTGATTCAATCAGAAACGAATCACTGCTGTGTGTTGATCAGAGAGGCTTAACGACATTAAGCAAAAGCAGACAATATTGCGTATAAAATGCAACACGATATTAATTTCTTGTTTATTGAGCTGATGTATAAATCTCATTTGCAGTGGTGCAGATATTGGTGGAAAACAGCACTCTTGCTGGTGTGATATTGCTAAACTATAAATATGAGAGGGTGATTTTTTGCCTCATATCTTGAATTTTAGGCTCATATAACTGCATTCTACTCAGAGTACCGAGTATGAGTACTGCATGTACTCAGAACAAGCAAACAAAACATCATCCCGGAGGGAAACTCTATATTCTGACTAAAAATAACCTGAAACTTAGGTCAGAATAAAGTCACTGGCAGAGAGGAAATAAAGGAAGGAACTCACTTCTGATGAGGAGTCGCTGGTCCTTGGGTGAAAGGACTGAGTCCAAAACTGCTGCTTCCTCCCATTCCAGATGCCTTCATGAAGAAGAACCAGAATCAGTCATTAACAGTCCGTTAGTAATGACTGAGGACAGTCTACAGAAACTCGACTTGGACATATGCTTCAAGTTTAGGGTCAAATGGTTATTTTTTGAAAGAAATTCATGCTTTTATCCATCAAGGATGCATTAAATTGATCAAAAGTAACAGTAAATGCTTTGTAATGTTACAATGTTTCAAATAAAACGCTGTTTATTTGAATCCTGAAAATTCAAATGTATCAGTTTCCACAACATTGATAATAATCAGAAATGTTTCTCGAGCAGCAAATCAGCATATTAGAATGATTTCTGAAGATCATGTGACACTGAAGACTGGAGTAATGATGCTGAAAATACAGCTGCGCATCACAGAAATAAATTACAGTTTAATAGATATTCACATAGAAAACAGCGGTTTTAAATTTTACAAATATTTTACAATTTTATTGTATTTTTGATCAAATAAATGCAGTCTTGGTGAACCTTTTTGAAACATTTTTCCCCCGCCAAACTTTTGAACGCTTCTGCACACAATGCACTTGCAAACAGAAAGCGCTGAGAAACGGATCACTCACCCCGATCTTCTCGTCGATCAGCTGTCTGGCCATCTCCATCTGCTGAGGAGATCCACGGATGGAGAAGATCCGGACGTTTGGGTCGGTGTTCGGAGGAGGATTTCTCTGCAGCTCCACATGAGCTCCAGACTGCTGGTTGATGCTCTTTATGGTCTCTCCACCTGAGCAGAACACAAACACATGAACACCATCCGGTAACAAGCTCTGTTCCTCACACAGATCTATCACATGCGGTTTCAAACCACTGGGAGTTTTAACTAGACTTCATGTTAAAAACACCAGGGACAATCAAACATAAAAACACAGGTGCAAAACACCTCAACATCAGCTAAACCAAAAAATAACAGAAATTAAATAAATTTAAAAAGATAACCAGATGGAATGTAAAACATACAGGTGCAAAACACCTTAACACCAGTTAAATAAAAAGAAATAATAATAAAAAAAACTATTAGAAACATGACGGACAATCAAACTTAAAAAATACAGGCGCAAAACAACTGCTTGCTAAACAACCATATAATCAACATTTGGTTTAAAAAGTATGTGGACACAAGGGAAAAATGAGTAAATAATTAAAACACATAAAAATAAAATTAAAGTTAAAAATAAATAAAATAACCAGTTATAAACATCATGGATAAGCAAATAAAAAAATTAAAAACACAAGTGTATAACGCCTGCTAAAATGGTTTAAAAAGGACAGTTAAAAATAAATAAATAAATAAAAACCAAAATTTAAAAATGATCATAAACATCAGGGACAAACAAACGTTAAAAAAAACAAAACCTTGTTCACTTAACAGCCATCTACTCTACAATGGTTTAAAAAAAATATATGGACAAAAAATAGTTAAAAATAAAAAAATATAAAGAAATACATAACACAGAGGACAAAAATAAAATTAAAATAAAATAAAAGGTAAACATTTTTTTAAATAAATAATAAAACCAAAATAAAAATCCCAAAAAAATAAAATAAATTAAAAATTAAAAATAAAATGACCAGATAGAACATTCAGGGACAAACAAATAAACAATTACATTAATAAATTAATAAATACGTAAGACCTGCTCACTAAACAGCCATACAGTCTACAATGGTTTAAAAAAAAAAGTATATGGACACAAGGGATTGTTACAAAAATTAAAATTTAAATATAAATAATTTAAATAATTAAATTTGTGTCATGATTTCCAAACTGAATGGTTAAATCACCAGCTCGGGGGGGAAATCGAGGTGCGCAAACACAAGAGCCTGGTAAAGAGAGTCAGTGCTGTCTGAACATTTGTTCACTCATCCAGGCGCCTTATTGTCACACAAATTTAACCGCTGCATTAATGAAGCCATTATGAGCTCCGGCGTCATAAAGAGCCGAGTTCACGGACGGACCGGTTTAGTTAAAGGATGCTGGTTAAAGCCGTGAGACGCTGCTAACTGGTGGTCTTTAACTCGCACTGAAAAGAGCGTCTAACAATGAGATGTGAGGTCAGAGCAAACGGCCTGTCGAGTCTTGAGAACGCACATCTGCTCAATCCCACCGAATAATTCATGCAAAACGAATCTGAGGTGATCTGATGTGCACAGATGAATCAACATTACACTAACAAGCTATTAGTGATGAAGCATAACTTACATTAGTTGTATTCATAACTCAGTGTCTAAATATAAAATGCCCAATGCCAAGAAAAAAGAATCATAATTAGCTTTTTGAAAATATTTTAAATCAGTTTTTTTATATATATTTTCATTTAAGGTTTTGTTGTGTGTGTGTGTGAGATTTTTTTTATTAATAAAGTCTTTTTTATTAATTAGTTATTTAGTACTTCAACTGAAATGAAAGTTTTATATTTTATTATATTTTATTGTTTATGTTTATTGGTCATTTTGTGTTTTTGTTGTTTTTACTATTTTTTTTTTAAATAATGTTTTAGTTTATTTAATTTTATTTATTTTAGTACTTGAATGAAAACAAGAAATGTTGCCTTTGCAACTAACAGAAATACAATTTTAATTTAAACATCTGGTTTGACTTCAATGCTTTCCTTTTAATTTTAGCTGAAACTTTTGTAAATTTGTTACATGTTGTCATTCTTATTCATTTTAGGTTGTTTTCTCATTTTCATTTACTTTGAGGTTCTAGCTGAAACTCAAAAAAAAAAAAAAAGTGTGAATGTCAAGCGCTTCATTCAGATTCAGATGAACAGCGGTGTTTTAGACCACCCAGAAGATGTTTTACCTCATTGTGTTGCAATGAAGAGCTCAAAAGCTCCCTACAGAGTGAACACTTACAATCATTTATACACACACTGACATTTCAGAAAAACGACAAGCGAACTAAAAACTGACTCCACTTTGATCTGCTAATGAATCAATGCTTTCATTCCAATACAATAATTATGTACAGTTTGCGACGTGCTTATAAGGTTGCTTTAATAAAAGCGCCTGTGAACGGCTGAATGCAGAGGAAGTCCTAACCTTTCCCGATCACGAGGCCGCACTTATCAGCTGGTATTGTGTAGGTCACTTCCTGCAGGCCTCCAGGAGTTCCCATGCTCCAATCCCCGCGACCTCTGCCGCGACCTCTGGGTCCAACCGGGCCTCCGAACCCATCGCGCTCCTGAACACCAGACAAGCCATTAAAATATTGCATTGAATTCATTCATCATGTGTAATTAATCAGTCGCACATCAATTCCGGCTGACTCCATTTAAAGTCATTATTGTGTTAAATAAGAAAATCATGAATAGACATTACCAAAAAAAATGCTTTAGAAATAATAATAAATGGGTATTAATTAATTTTATAACGAACACTGAGATATGACTTGGAGGATACTCTAAAGATGAAACTAAAAGCGCCATTATTGAATCAACCACTCAACCGATTTGCTCAAATGACTGATTCATTCAGAAGTGACTGAAGTCACTGAATCACTGACTCACTTGATTCATTCAAAACTGTTGATTCATTCAGTAACGAAACACCGCCGAGTGTTGATCGGAGACGCTCAATGGTTCTGCTGTGGCTTTGATTGAAACCATTTTCGTTGTCAAAATTAGGCAAAAACAGACAATATGTGACCATAAAAGCAGTCATAAGGGTCAATTTTTTGAAACTGAGATTGATGTATGGTTTGTTAGGATCGGATTGGCATAAAAGAAAAATGTATAATTTTGACCCATACAATGTATTGTTGGCTATTGCTACAAATATGCCCCAGCGACTTAACACTGCTTTTGTGCTGCAGGCTCACATATTGTATCTAAAATGTAACCCAATATTAACTTCTTATTTACAGAAATGCTGTATGAATCAGTATGACATTCACAATGGTGTAGATATTGGGGAAAAGCAGCACTCTTGCCGGTGTGATATTGCTCAACTCTATCATAAGATATAAATAAAGAGGGTGTTTTTTTGTTCTCATTTCTTGAATTTGAGGCTCGTATAACTGCATTCTCCGACTCCATCATCAGTGTAAGATGATGTTTCATACGTACCTGTGCCGTCTGGACCAGATCGTTGATGAGGTGAACCGCGTGCTGACACCGATCCGGCTGCCCCATGACCTGAGCGATCCGGTCCGGACTCATCCCGTCATCTGAAACAGACACGGAGCCGATCCGGAGATTACACCAGCTACAGCTTTAACACCACAAAACTACTCTATCACACTGATACTGTATGTGAATTTATTAATTATCAAAAACATCTCATTGATTGACATTAATAAACTTTTGCATTTCAAAAAATTAGATTTTTTAGACTATTATTCCATGTCAGGCTTTACAGGGTTAACTTGGCTTTAATTGATTACACACAAAAAATTATGCATTATGCATGTAATTCATTCCTTGATGCATAGAATACAATTCTCTACTAATTTGACATCTTTCTCTAAATTAAGTACAACATGGTGAAAACCATTGTTTTCAGATAACTGATATTTAATAAATGCTATCATTAACAAATAATTACATTCATATTTAAATCTATTCATGCACTCTTCCATCATGGTGCACAAAATTAAATTTGATCCATTTCATTATGTTTAAATTAGTGCCGTCAAACGATTAATCGCGATTCCAAAATCAAGTTTTTGTTAACATTATGTGTATGTGTACAGTGTATATTTATTATGTATATATAAATACACACACACATACAGAATATATTTTGAAAATATTTACTTGTCTATACATTTATATATTCATATTCTTATATTTTATATATTTAATATATAAACATAACATTTTTCTTAAATATATACATGCATGTGTTTATAAATATACACACATATATTATGCAAACAAAAACTTTTATTATGATGTGATTAATCGTTTGACGGCACTAGTTTAAATAAAATTATTTTTAAAAACAAAATTATTAAAATCACCTAATGTTTATGGAAATCCCCTATACATGCATAATCAAGTTTATGGATAATTCGCACACAAAATGTATTAAAACTACTCTATACAGCAGGTTTAATGAACTATTTCCATTGAATTCTCCTTCCTAATTCTGCACCTTGTTTGCTACTTCAGTTCAGTTTAGTGTGTGAATGAATTGAACAGGCGTTCTCAGCAGAATCGGTCAGCAGCATGAATATACAAGGGATTGTAAACAGTGTTAACATGTGAGAGAACAGTATATTAATCCCTGTAAACTTCTTAACGCGTCAATGATCCTGCTGGTCCTCCACAGATTTAAGAGATTTGTGTGATCGAGTGCGTCCCAGCATGCCCTAACCTGAGCTCAGCAGCATCGTCCAGAAACACACAAAACAAACACACATCCTAACAGCAGGACTCGCATAATAACAAACTAAACTCATGCACTTTGCACGTAATGGCAAAAAAAGTTTGCAAAACTGCATATTGATGCACTATTTCCGGTGCATTTGCATGCAAACATTTGCTCATCATTACCTTTCAAACTAAACTACTGAACAAATTTCAGTTCAGCACTGTTTTATTTTTTGTTAAGCTGCTCTGAGAAAGTCTTGTATTGTAAAAAGTGCTGCACAAATCAATTTCAGGAAGGTAAAACACTCCTTGACTGCATGATTAGAAACTATAAAATAAACCATGATTCTTAATATAGGCCTATATTATGGATCCCTAATTATCCACGAAAATGTGTTTGAATAAAGTGAAATGCATAAAACCAGTCCACGTTTTTTAACATTTTGCAATGCGCATTTTTTTAACTAAGTCACCATTTAATTATAAAACAATTACAAGAAGCGCAGTACAACTTGAAGCAACTGACACATTAGTGTGATAAAGAAACGCGCACAAGCGTCATTTTCTGTTTCTGACCAGAATAAGACGCAATGTGGACCAGAATTTGCTAAAAGAAATCCAACACTTGTTTCTTAATAATTTACACTGCTGATTTCAAAAATACTGCCCTGTTTTGCTCTCACACATCACACTTTCTCACTAAATGACGCATTCTGTAGCAGTTTTGCTTCTGAGAATCATTTATAAGGCGAAGACATGAATCCTGTCAGAATATGAGCCAGATTACAGCTATTTGTTTATATTTCATCCCTTTTTCACACGCATGAATGATTCTGAACACATTATTTTATGTCTAATCATGATTTACACTTTTGCCACTCTTTGCAGACTGTAAACTAAATGATGCATTCTGAATACTTCTTTATGTCATTAAAACTAATACTTTTGACATTTGGCTGGAAAAGTGCAATACTGTAGATATATATATATATACACACTACTGGTCAAAAGTTTGGGATCAGAACGATTTTTAATGTTTTTTACAGGAGTTTCTTCTGCTCATCAAGGCTGCATTTATTTGATCAAAAATACAGGAAAAAATGTAATATTGTGAAATATTATTATGATGTAAAATAACATTTAATATACATTAAGATATAATTTATTTCTGTGATGCGCAGCTGTATTTTCATATATATATATATATAAAATAAAAACAAAAAAACTCAGCATCAACATATTAGGTGATATTAAACCTTTTTTTGTTACGAAACAGCGGAACTGTGTCTAATTCGACAGTATCTTGCATGCATGTTAACGCTGCACAAACATGAGGTTTGTGAACACTGACCTGGCTTAAACTGGATCCTGACTCCTGCATCGTTCTGGATCTTCTTGATCATCTCCCCGTTTCTGCCAATGACGATTCCCACGGCGAATCTGGGCACTGCCACCTGTGTGAGCAAACCAACAATCAACACACGAGGCCTTTCTGGCTTCATCGCAGCTGAAGGTGTTCTTACGTCGATGCTGCTGCCCAGTCTGGAGCCGAAGTCACTGCGGCTGCTCCGGAAATCTCCCTGATCCTTTTCCCTGATGATCTCCAGCACCAGCTCCCGCGCTTGCTGTAGAACACACACTCAGAGTCAGACACGTGTCTCAAACATCATCTGTGTCCCTGCAGCACAAAAGCGGTCTTAAGTCGCTGGGGTATATTTGTAGCAATAGCCAACAATACATTTTATATTTTGAATAAATGCTGTTCTTTTTAACTTTTTATTCATCAAAGAATCCTGAAAAAATATCAGTTTCCAAAAAAAATATTTGTTGATAATTCTAATAATAAATCAGCAAATTAGAACGATTTCTGAAGATCATGTGACACTTTATACTGGAGTAATGATGCTG